GAACGTTTATGACGGATTTGAAAAATGAATAAATCAACGGAGGTACGGAGAAGCGAGAGAACGAATAAAAGTATGGAGGCATCTAGAAGAGAGGGAATTAATGAAAGTATGAGTGAAAGACCTGCTTCCAGCGCCACTTTCCAGAACCGGCTTTTGACCGTCAAAATTATTGTCTGACTGAATGAATGGAAAACATGAAAGCACAAGAACATTAACTTTATTGTTCAGATTCTTTTCATTCAGGCGATCGTTTTCAGAACTGTGACAATCTGTGCGACAGCGTTAGATGATCTGCGGTCGGTTGAATAAAAGTTAATGGCTGAGAAATTCGTTATTTGTAATCAAAGTTAACTCTACTTATCAGAGTTCGACTGTGATTTGAAATTCTGTGTGAAGCGATGTGATCAGTAAAGACAATGCAAATCATCGTTTTTCGATGGGAATAAAATAATTTTTTTAATCTAATATTGTATTAGTAAATTACCTGTTTTATGTTTATCATATTTTAGATTCCACAGACGAGAGAAAGGTGAACGTTCGTCATGTTGATACCCCTGCATTACAGATCAGCAGGTCTCTGAAACCTGCTCCCTCGAATTTCGACAGCAGTGAAAGTGGTGGTCAGGGGAGCGAGAATATTTGTTTGCAGGTATGCATGTGGTAGTGTAAATTATGGTACTGAAAACCAGTGGTACTGTTCACTGATATCACAGTTAGTCGGTAGTATCCGTTACTCATTTTTGTTTTTAATGAAACTGCTTTCGAATCTTAACCACGATTCAAACTTTAAACTTGCTTTTGAAATTCCCTCAAGCAGAAGTCGTATTTGTATATGACCTCTCGCCTTCAAGTTTATAGTTCACCAACGATGGAAAGCTTAGTAAATGGTAACAACATGATACATTCTTCATCTGGACAATACCGTCCGTTGATGTAAGTCTACGGCTTATCCGTTGAACGGAACGGTGCCAGCATATGATGGAATCTTCAACTTCCTCAGTCAAGAAGTAACACCCCCC